AGATCCGCGTGCCTCAACAGGCTGTGAGTGTGTGAGTGAGTGACCATAAGCCGAACCTGGGAGCAGCGTGTGTAACAGTGGCACGTCTTGCAACTCGGCCCAAGCAGACTGGCCTATTTTTCAATGAAGCATCATTAAGCATGTTGTGTGAAGACAGTCTGCGTGTTAGGCTTGGGACAGGCTCTGCCTCACCAGTTCCAACTAGTCCAAATAATAAGGGAACCGGACTAACCGCTCATCACGCCCAGCTGGCATTGCCTATATGAAGTTTAGTCTGGCGTGTTATGGTGGTGTTGGTTTTGGGGCTGCTAGTGGCCCCACCAAGGAGGTCCAGTCCATGGAGGCATGACAGTGGCTGATCACTTGTCCAGAGATGCTTCTGAGGTGGAAATGGCCAGACTCTAGGAAGCAATTAGATCCCGAGACTCTACTTTCATTCCTGCGTGATGATTATGATAATGTGCCACCAAGTCAGTGTCAGCTCTGATCAACCACAGAGATAAATTTTCTCCAGTACGACTGGTGCTCAAGGTGGTCAAGTCCTTGAATGGTGCATCCATTGCTGCTGTAATTGTGTCCCTCCCCGTTGCTACTGGTTTTTTTTATTTCTATCTTTCCCAGCATTATGGACTTTTCCAGAGAGCTCAGTCTTTGCATAATGTGTCCAAAATACAATAATTTGAGCCTGGTCAGTTGTGCCTCAAATATGAAATCTGGGTTGGTTTGTTCTATGATCCTGTAATGGTCTGTGGGAATGATCTTGAGAGATGGGGCGAAGAGATCCTGCCTTGGGAATGGTCGGATAAGAGGGGGCATAGCCCACAGCTGCATAATGGAGGGAGAAAGAGGCTCAGAAGGGACCCTCCCTAAGTTCTCAGGCTGTAAATGTGATGACGGCACAATTGTACTTTCAGACTTGCAAGATTCTGTTAATGCAGCTTTACAATAAAGTAGAATTAGCTTAACTGGTTGTGTTTCCTGTCCAGTCTACGTGGTAAGGCTGACAGATCCATTTATGTGTTTCGCTGTTCACAATATTCTCATGAGTCTTCTCCAACACAAAAGTTCAAAATATGCTGCCTCTTCAGAGTCCCAATTTCACTTCCATAAAGTATCACAGGGAAAACCATAATCCTGATCTTTGTAGTTATAGACCCTTCATGGCATCTGAATATCTTTTCCAAGGTCTTCATGGCTGCTCTGCCAAGTGCTCATCTGCAGCATCTTTCTTCACTGCTCGTTATTGTTGATGGTTGATCCTAAAAGCCAGAAGCTCTCCACCACTTCAGTATCTTCAATACTGAATATCTTCAATACTTCAACACCAATTCAAGGTGTTGGTTATCACCTTTAAAGCCCTACATGGCATGGGACCAGGTTATCTAAGGGACCGCCTCTCCCCTATGACTTCAACCCGTCCCACCTGATCACACAGAGAGGGCATGCTTCGGACCCCCTCAGTGAAAGAACTTCGACTGGTGGGGTTCAGAAGGTGGGCCTTCTCTGTGGTGGCCCCTGCTCTTTGGAACATCCTGCCCCCGGAGGTGTGATTGGCCCCCACACTCCTGGCCTTCCGTAAGGCTTTGAAGACCTGGTTCTGCCACCTGGCCTGGGGTGGGGTGAGAATACAAGCATGGGGATGGCTAACCCCATAGAGGCCTCTGCCTTCAACCTCAGGTTTTTCATCCTCTTGGTTTCCTCTTCTTCTTTTTAGTAATATTTTAATTTAAGGTTTTATGTGTTTATATATTTTATGTTCTAATGTTTGTTGTAAATCGCCCAGAGTTCCCCCATTGGGGGTAGATAGGCGGCTGAAAAATCAAATAAATAAATAAATAAAATAAAATAAAATAAAATAAAATAAAAAAATAAATCTTCACTGTCCATTCTAAGGCCCATTGCTGTACCTGTCCTCATTACTTTAGTCTTCTTTATATTTAATCTTAGCTCCATGGTTTTCACAATGCTGCTTGACCTTCATTGCTAGATCTTGTAGATCATTTGCATTTTCAACTATCAGAATCATGTAATTAGCACAGCCCAGGTTATTGATGTTTTTTTCTTCCAATTTTAAAATCACACTTGTCTTTTTCCAATCCAGCTTCACTCAATATACATTCAGCATGTAGGTTGAATCTAGCAAATCACTGATTTCTCTTATTATGATCCCCATCTTCCAGGGAATTGTGTTGTTATTGATGTTATTAACATTCACAGAATAGATCTTAAATCTGTATGCATCTTAAAAGTGACTTGCCTTTGAAAAGTCAACGTTTTGTTTACCTGAATTCACTGCATGCATGAGGAGAAATAGAAGGAGCGGTGTTGTGTCTTGGTCTCCCCCCCCAGTGAAGATGGCCGGGCAGGGATGGAATTGCCCACGTTTACTCAAAACAGGGATTTAGTTGTTATAACTCCAGAGCACAAGGAAACATTATCCTGAAAAAAATGAGACAGGGACAGAAGTTGGAAAGAAGAGATGAATCAAGTTGTCATTGTAGGACAAGCAAACTGATTAGCTAAAAAAAAAAAAAGCCCATGAGTTAATTCAATATATTTGCCTTCTCACATAAATTATTTATCATCCAGTGAAAAGAAAAGGCATTGAATGCGTGATGCAGGGAGAAAACCTTTGGGAAGATGGGCTTAAAGAAACATTTTTGTCTAGGACTTCTCCAACTCTTAATACTTTCTGGGCACTTTTGCTTCTGATTCTTTTGAATGGTAAAAGTGACGTTTTGAGGGGAAAAAAGGAAAAGTGCTCCCTTATTGGTGTGGCTATTTGGAGCGCTGTATCCACCCTGATTCCTCTGAAGGAACCTTTGTTGGCCAAGGTATGGATCAGCCCAGTCAAATGCTGGGATTGTTCACCTGCTGCAAAGAGCCAAAATCACCCGGGTGGGGAAATTGCAGCCTGTTTATTCTGTACAGCGATAAAGAGGCACTCTCGGGACCCAAGTCCCAAATAGAGACACTTCCCACGTAAATTAGCATAGCCTTTATACATTTGTGAAAACAAGGGCACACGATCATTCGTAAGCGATAGGCAATAAGCAGTAAATTGCTCGCACCCCTGCTTGGGCAGAGCCTGCCCAAGAGGGGGGCTCCTTGCTAAAATACTGCAGCCTCTTCTCTTCTGCCTGCCCCTAGCTGATAAGGCTGGTAATTTATCCACAAGAGGAAAGGGGAGTCGGCCTCGAGTCTGTAACGCTGCCCTGGGCCAGGAGTGCCCGCCCTTCGATAAGGGCAGCCACGGATCGTTCCAGGAGTTGGCAGTGCAGCGCAAAGGGGCCCGAAGGGGCGCAACCGCGAACAAAGATGGACAAGGTGGGGTCTCTCTGGCGGAAGCCAGCTGGGCCAGCCCACCCCCTGGAACACCCTTCCCCCACCGCCGCTACGCTGGCCAGAGGTGGTGGAACTCAGGTAGAACATCTGGAGGACGCCAAGTCGCAGACACAAACGCTCTGGCCCCTTCACGTGGCGCACTAAGATGTACGGTGGTTTGTGTAGCTTTGGTTTAGCCGGTGCGTTTGCCCAGCTCATCCCAGCATAGTTCAATCACAGTCAAGCTAACCATGGCTTAGTGTGAAGTGTGAACCCAACACGCCAAGCAACTTGCTTGTTTGTTGCTCAAGATATGTGGGCTGTGATGTTGACTCAGAGGTTTTATTAGACTCTCCACCTTCCATAAAAAGCAGAGGTTTTGTATAGTTAAACATTACAAGGAAGACTTGGCCTTGAAAGGTTGGTCCCGCTTCCCCTGAATTCGCGGCTGGCACCTAATCAGTCAGTCAGTCTGCGCAACCTGAGGGCCAACACTTTGTCCAAGACGCCAGGAACGCGGCTCCTCAAAAGGTGGGGAAAGAAGGCCACCAGGAATGGAAATGCCCCACTGCTAATGCCGAGGCTGGAGCGGAGAACGACTTTCATTGGATTAGTGGCACTTTTTGCGGTTCAGCGCAGGGAGCCCTGAATGGTCACCGAACCGAACTTAGGCAACCCCTTGGCTTGAGATGTTTTGTGAACGCCGCCTGCGTGTTGGGGTGGGGAGAAGGACCCCCAACCTTCCCCTCCTCTACTAGTAGGAACTACATGTCCCAGAACGCAGTTCTACCCGAAAACGATCAGTGGGGACGTTAAGACGGGAGGGGGCGGTTACTATGAAATGATGGGCAGGCCTAGTCCTGCCCCCCTTCAGACAAACAGCGGCCTCAGCCACTTGCCTTTCGAACAAAGCGTGCTCGTCTCCGCAAAGAGGCGGTGTTGGCTCGGAGCGACAGCCCAGGCGGCCTATCAGGACTAGCCCCGCCCACCGCGCCGCGTCCGACGGAACTGGCGACCGAGGCGGTCGCTCCCCAGAGCGGCTCTCGGGCCTTCTCCTCGCCATGGCGCTCGGCGGCGGTTGGTGGGGCCGAGCCGTGGCGCGGGCGAGGAGAGCTGGCGGGCTGTTGAGGGGAGGGGGCGTGCCGGGGGGGCGGAGGGG